TAGGGGCTTAAGGGCCTGGGGCTGGAGGGAGAGGAGGCGGCCTAATGCATTTTTCCCTTCTTTGTCGTATCGCACCCCGCTGCAACTGAAGCTGCGAGTCACCTTAGCAAGCAACCAAAACCCAACCGTCTGTCTGCACTAACACTGCACACAGTCGCTATACTTGTGCGTGCATGCAGGCTGCATAATAAGCCCTAGTAAGAGTACGTGTACCAACTTTAGACAAACCACGCAAGGAAGTGAGTGGGGTGACAACGCAACCGCAGCGCTACGGTGTCTGCATACAGAGAATCTGGTGTTTGCAGAGAATGTTAGAACCAACTGAAGAAAAGAAATGGCAATATATATGTTAGTACAGGGAACACGAGATGTGCCTAAACTTGTTCGGGGCTGGTAAGGTCTGTTGCCTAGCATAGACGGCAGCGTAATGGGCGAAAAGATGGGTGTTATCTTGGCTTGTGCCAACCGCTTCCAATATTGTGTTTCTTCTTTTGTTAATTTTTGGAGCAATTTTGGTTTGTCAGGACTTCTGCCAGGATCTGGTTTCTGTAGCAGCTGTGCCGGCACCGCCTCACCGCAAGTCCCGCTGCAAAGTCTGCTGCGCCTGGGCCTCCGTAGCCCCACTGCTGGTTGCGCCTTTGGAGTTGGGCTGTGTGGTTCTTGTCCTAAATACAATTGTACTTGAATATTTAGAGCACTGCATTCACTAAAGGCGGAACGAAAATGGGGGGACGTTCTGCTCTAGTGAGTCTGGCCGCCGTCGTGGCGGCCGTCTCCGTGTCTTTTGTCGATGCATTCCAGGCTTCTCGAAGTAGCGCAGTCATGGGGCCTTCAAGTCTTCACGGCTTCAGCTCTTTGAGGTCAACCGCCTTGTCACCTAACAAACAGACCGGTTTTTCTCCTGCTGCGGCGCTTGCTGCCCCACACCTCGTCAGGCAGTCGACGTCGTCCACGGGTGTCTTCGTAAGTGGTCTTGCGAATCCCTTTAGTTCCGGCGTTTGTCTTGACCAGACGTTTGCATTGCAATTTATGGTGGTGTTTGATAAGCACAGACTTATTAGGGTGGGGCTATCGGGAGTGGGCATCCATTGACGCTGGGACCTGCAGGCCAGAAGATCGAAGAGAGTCATCTTGGCAGACGAGTGTCGGAACCAGCTGCTAGAGGGGATTCAGCAGGTTGCCAATGCTGTTCGTGTAAGCTGCACTTGTCATTCACTTGAGCAGTTGGCGAGTTTAGGGTGTAGCGTTGGGCATTCATTCCCCCGCCGGCTCTGTGTGTATCGCCCATCACTTTCGCGTGGAACAGGTTACGCTGGGGCCTCGAGGGCGCAACATTTTGCTGGAAAAGGACTACGGACCTCCACTAATTGTGAACGATGGGGTTACCATTGCACGCAATATTGAGTTGCCTAACAGGGCTCACAATGCTGGGGCAAAACTAGTGCAGGAAGTGGCGTCGACGTCGGATGAGTGGGCCGGGGACGGGACCTCTTCCACAACGATTCTTACAGCTGAAATTGCGAAGAAGGTGTGTCTTGCTTAGCTGTTGCGGGTATTAGGACACTCACACTCGGCGACGCCCAGGCCGGCAATTTCTGGTGCCTACCCTGTGTGGTTCTCCGTTTGCAGGGTGTTGAGTACGTGAATCAGGGGCACAACCCTATCCCGTTGCAGCGTGGTATTCAGAAGGCTGCGCGTATCATGATGGATGAAGTAAAGAAACTCGCAAAACCCGTCAACGGCTTTGGCGATCTGTTGAATATTGCCACTGTCGCGACAAGCGGGAATGCGTCGATGGGGGAAGTAATTGCCAAGGCCTTCGACAAACTCGGCAACCACGCCGCCATCGTTCTAGAAAACAATCCTTCGCAAGAAGATAATGTAGGCTAAGGCACCCAACTGCGATCAGGGGAAAAACCAACTTCGCCCATCATCACTTAGAGTGTGTTTGCGCTAGACCGTAGCTGTGAACTTTGTGCTGCACTGTGGCCTTGCTGCCGTTTTTGCAGCTTGAATTCACTGAAGGTTACACGTTTGAAAGAGGCTACAGCTCGCCCTACTTCTTGCTGGGCGAAGAAGCGGACTTCATTGAGTGGAAGAACCCGCATGTCATGGTGTGCGACTACAAGATTGAGAGCGCGCAAGCGATGCTTCCAATTCTGGAACATTTCGTGCGAACCAAAGAGCCTTTGGTCATCATTGCCGAGGATTTCTCGACGGATATGCTTCAAACCTGCATCATCAACAGCATGAGAAGGCTGCTGAAAGTGGTGCGCGCATGCGTGTGCGCAGACACGCACACAAACACACACACACACACACACACACACACACACACACACACACACACA